GAAAAATTAAGGTAGAGGCAGAACGCAGTCTTGAGATATGCCAGGAATCTTAGCAAAACCTGATTAGATGCTTAAAAAGGAATAAAAGATCCAAATGCGTTGGTGATGGGAGATGCTGGTTCTGGAGCCGCGATAAGGTTTGAGGGGGTCTGTTAAATTGGCGGTTTCTTAGCACTGGAGGCATTAAAAGTATCAAATTGTGACCACAAAAGCAAAATAATGTCAACAAAATTTGCAATTCAAAATAACCATAAGTTTGATTTAATGACAAAATAAATATCAACAAACAGTTTTATAATTAAGAATAGAAATTGGCAACAGCACTTTTATAAATTACCAATCTGAATTGCTTTTTAAATATTCCCTGAAAAAAAATATACAAGCTATCATGGGCATTACAGTTGTGTGTGTATATACATATATATGTAATCTAGTCGTGTAGATACCTCTGCATATATATATTAATATGAAGGCACACACATATATATGCTTTTTAAAGCTCGTTAGTTCTTAAAAGGGTTAAGCAGTTTTAAAATTACCTCAACCCACTGCTTAAACATTGTTGCCTTAATTAATAGCTGCTAACATATGAAGGGCTTGTCTTGGCTCTCAGAGTATAAAAAAAAAAAGCAGCAGCATGTCACAGAGCTCCATGTACACTGTTTCTTGTCTACTGCCATTAAAATTAATCATTGTGGCTAAAACCTGGAAGGTTTTGTTATTTCTGGTCCAAGTGGACATACCACCACCTGCGGTTTCTTACTCATGGAGTGTCCTTGTGTGGCATGTTGTCTGTGATTTGTTTTCTTTTTTTAAAAACAGGAATTTCATAGGGTTTTTTGGCTATTGAGAGTTGTTACTGATTTGGCATTTCTAAATGCATTTTGCAATGAACAAATATGGGATGAAACTTCCAACAGCTAGTTATTAATTTAACTTAGCCAGAGTGAAAGCTAATCCTTTCCAAACGACAAGTTAAAAGTATTTTGGAGGACTGCCACTACCCACGAGCCAATATGCAAAGCGGTGTTTCTGTAAGCCATTTTCCAGCGCTAAAAGAGTTTGTCCCTTTTGCCAAGTGGAGAGACTGCATAAACTTGGAGTGGAGGTTGGGGAAGAACTTTCCACCTCTCCCTGACTTGAATACTTTAAAAACAAATTTTTCTTACCTGTTTCTTTGCAGATAAGACAGCTGTAGTACATAGAGGTGTTGTAACAACACACTGTTCTGTTGTCCACACAACGCTTTATTTTTGTGGAATTCGTGTAGCCGATTATTTATTTTTTTTAATTCTGTATTTGGTGAATTTTCCTTACAAATGTCGTTGTTGCTTGTATGTGTGTGGTGTTCCTGTTCCCAAATGTGATGTGTGTGCAGACTGAAACCCCAGAGCTTGCTGCAGGCAGTGGTGCCCGGGGCAGGTCAGGCAGCAGTGGGGCAAGTCCTCTTGTGAGTTCTGCAGCCACCAAAAGCTGCTGCCACTTCAAAACCAGCTCTGTGCCACCGTGACTTACAGCTGAGGAGATCTTTTCCCAGCCTGCCCAGGAGCAGGAGGGCAAAGAAGGCCATGATGAGAGGGCTGGAGCACTTCTCCTGCAAAGACAGGCTGAGAGAGCTGGGGTTGTTCAGCCTGGAGAAGAGAAGGCTCTGTGGGGAGGCCTTACAGCGGCCTTCCAGTACCTGAAGGGGGCCTGCAGGAGAGGTGGGGAGGGACTCCTTATGAGGGAGTGTAGCAGCAGGACGAGGGGTAATGGTTTTAAACTGAAAGACAGGAGATTCAGATTAGATACTAGAAAGAAATTCTTTACTGTGAGGGTGGTGAGGCACTGGGACAGGTTGCCCAGAGAAGCTGTGGATGCCCCATCCCTGAAGGTGTTCAAGGCCAGGCTGGATGGGGCTTTGAGCAACCTGCTCTAGTGGGAGGTGTCCCTGCCCATGGCAGGGGGGTTGGAATTCAATGATTTTTAAGGTCCCTTCCAACCCAAACAGTTCTGATTCTGTGAAAGATGGTGAATCCCCAGGACATTGGTGGTGTCCCGCTGGCGGGCAGCGCTCTGCTCCGATGGCAGATCTGCCTTCCTGCGGTGCTCAGGCCTGTAAGGAGCTGAACGCTGTGGTGTGTGGAACGGGCAATACCCACGGGTTTTGTGCCCCATCTGGCTTGTGGGCTTTGCTCTGTGTGTGGTGATGGTTGTGGTTTGCTGCAACCCCAGTTAGACTGGTATAGGGGGAGGGCACACCGAGCTGCTGCTGGCACCGGGGGACATAAGGGAAAGAAACAGCTACTCTGAAACTTACAAAGCAAAGCTGTGCTGAAATGAAATTATGACACTTAGCCTTCGTGAGAACTCCCAGGAAGAGTTCTGTTCCCTCGCTAACCACTCTTTTTTTGCAGCAGGAGTGGCTCCGCTGTGGCAGTGTGGAACCTTTCCCCCACACAGCGGTGGCGAAGCAGGACACGAAGGCCGAGGCTGAAGCACACAGCATGATCTTCGCTGCCCAAGAGGTGCATAATTCCCCCAAAACCTGTGCTATTTTTCACCTGCCGGCAGCGCGAGTGGGGCAGGTTGTGTGTCACCCACCCACTCTTCCCCGCACGCAGCTCTGTACACAGCCCCACCGCGCGCTATTGTTAGGCACCAACGCTAATTGCTGGTGTTTCAAGGCTCCCATCTTCTTATTGCTAACGCCTGTACCAATAATCACAGCCTATATTCCCCATCTCTAGGCATCAAGGAAACAAGATATGATCATAGGCAGCGTGCTAATGTAATTGTAGTATATAGAATATGAGCTTTTTCTGTGTAAACACGGGCCCGGCCACGTCCCGTGATGGCTCTTCCTGCAGCCTGTGCGATGGCTGTTCCCAGGCTCACCGCTCAAGTCCCCATTATCTGTGCATCCACCCTTGTCATAACACCACCTCTGAAACACTCACACCGCTTGGGCCTGCGGCACAGCGGGAAGAGGGTGGAATTTTAAATGGAGAAAGGCTGTTTAAGTAGTGTCAGCAGCCTGACTAATTTCACAAAAGGAAGGAAATTCAAAGTTAAGGCTATGGTATATTCTTATCTAAGATGCCTGAAGATTTCTGTGCGTGACAATATGCCCCTAAAATTCAGAGCTGTCCCTTATGTCTTTAATTTCTCCCATTGTGTCTCTCCTTTCTTTATTAAACATCAAAGTGAATTCACAACAGAGAGTCAGCCTAGAATTTAATCCTCTAAATACCTTGAAAATAGAGGTTTAGACTAGAAGTACCAATATATACCCTTAAAACTTCAGTGTAATATAAAAGAGATTCTAATCACAACAGATCATTACAAAGAAGAGTAAACCACTTTAAAAAAAATTAAGTGTCTTAAATATAATAAAAAGGAATAATTAAGAATCAAACAGGAAGCTGCTATTCTGACAATTTAATGATGCTGAATTGGACTGAAAGAATTGGCTTTGCCATTAGAACGCAGTGAAAATCTGATAATTTCAAAATGGCACTAGGATCAGATCAAGTGGGTTTTTTCAAAATCAAATGCAGCCGAACCAGACAGAAGTGGTAGAATTCACCTTAGAAAAACCTTGGAGTGTTTTGGATTCCTGCAGCTGCCGGGGGCTGAAGCTGTTATTTTATCAGAGCTGCTTAACATCTTTCGACGAGGGTCTGCCTGGGAATTTGTTACCACGTGGAGCCTGTGGAAAGTAATGTGGCAGCCCTAATTGCCAAATAGAATAATAAAATATTGATATTCTTCCAGTCTTATTTCTTACAAATCTGTATCTTTTTTTTATTTTTTTATCTGGAGCATTATAGCCGATTACACTAGTTTTCCACTGTGTGCAACTTGTAAATGAAAGTGGAGTAGATGATGTGTTTTGGGTCTCTGTATACAAGCACAGAGATGTGCATCCAAGCATTTAAATTCAAGCAAGCTAAACTGATAAAATGCTTGCAACAACCTTACACCTAATTTGCACGTGCATTTGCCCCGACTGTGAGTGAATTCCAGCCATTTGTTTACTGTTACTAATTTTCTGAGTATTTGCGTCTTATGACTGAGCATAACTAGCTGCACAATTAAAAGCATTTCATAGATTGCACAGTTAGATTTTTAATTACTGGAGGGGCAAGTTGATACTTTCTACCCGAGAATCTTTGGAACCAAAATTGGCAAATTGCTGTGATTTGTATTGCCATGGAGAAAGATGTGATTAGTAACAATCAGTTGGTATGTAGGAATAAATCCAAGAAGGTGAGATAAAATTATCTGTTACAAGAAATCATCTGTACAGGGAGAAAATGCCCGTTTTGGGCACCAACAGCATCAAACTGGAACACAAAGGCAAAGCCTTAAAACACCTGAGCAAGTGGAAACAAGACAGCACCGTTAACAGTTGTGTTCTCCTTCCTTGCACGTTCCCCTGAAGCACCAGTGAAACCTTCTGTGTTGCTTTCCTCTACGCTGTTCTAATGAGTGCTGGATGTTAACGTGCTACAGAAAGTAGTGTTTTCCGTGTGCTGAGCCCGCTTCTCTCAGAGCTCTCTGAATCACTGCTCGTTCAAACATTATGGGCTGAAACATCAGCTATTAACAAAGCTGGATGCGCCCTTTTGAACCAGCGGCCTGTAGCTCAGAACATTCCCGGGTGTGGAGAGCTCATAAGCATCTTGTGACCTATAAAACCCCTATGTCAAACAAATAATAACACAAAACCAAACAAGCAAACAAAACAAACAAAAAAAACCCCAAACAATCAAAACAACGAAAAACCCAGCCCCAGGCTGAAGCCCCCCAGTTTGTTGCAGGTTCTGTGGAGGAGCACAGCAATGTTTTCCGACTGCTGGAGTTCTGCTGCCATCCTGTGGCCATGGGGGCCACCTCACCAGCGCTCCCAGCAGGGACCCGCCGAGGAGGCGACCCAAAAAACAAGCCCCTGGGCTTTGGCCGGCTTCTCGCAAGGGAGGCTGTATAACCCCCTGCCTCCTCTGCGGGGTTTGCTGTCACCAGTCTTGGTGTGATTTCTGCTTGATGAACCTCAGCGATAAGTAGTATAAAAGCAGGAAGCTGCAAACGATACCGAGGAGGACGAGGTAGCTCACGTAGAGGGGATGGGAGTCCAGGTCCAGGCTGTGAATGATCTGCAACCACGGAGAACGCAAAATTAGGAACAGACACAAAAATTTCACGCTGGGTGTGTGACGTGTGTTCGAGGTGTGAGCTTCCCTGGCCCCTGCCGCCTTTCCCCCCTCGGTTTCCTGCTGGATGTGACTTTCTAGAGTGGTTTGACAGCTGGTTACTGCTGTGCTCTATCTGGGGGCTGCGGTGTTTCAGAGGAACACCGTTCGGCTGCTGAACAATTTCAGCAAGCACGTAGTTGAGGCTTGTGTAGAAAATAGCTGCCCTTTATTCTCCTTTTTCTTTTCTTTTCCTCCTTTTCCACTAATAAGATGATAAAAGGAGTGACTGCTGTAAGGGCAAATTTAAAATATACCAAGTGTAACATGACTTCATGCCTTGATTTAGTGCTTGCCAAATCTGAGGCCTACATCATCTAGTTAAATACAACGGGCATATAAATAGCACTCTAACTAGTTACCAAATGTTCGTAAGAATTTTTATTGGTGACTTACAAGTTTCCCCGGTACGTGAAATGTAATATTTCCCACAGTCATTTCATATGTGTGGTCAGTGAACTGAATTTGCATCATGCCTTGAAAATTCCATCTGAGAAAAGAGATTTTAGAAACCCAAAATGGAACTGGAAAAAAACAGCAGAAAGAAAGAAATTGATATACGTACACAAAACTTACTTGAGACCTCAAAAACTGCTGTGTTGCTGCCAAATACAGCAGGTTTGTCTAATTTTGTGATGAGATGCTTTAAACATATGACAGTTTATTATTGGAAAAAATGGCAGCTAAATTTTACATTATTATGTAGAGATGGAAAATTAGGAGAGAGCTAATATCCATATCCATCAAACTCCACTGTCAACTAAGTCTCACTGGAGCTCAATCTTCATGTACTGGATATAATTCTTTCTACTGAAAAATTTAGCACTCATGTAAGAATCGAGCCTTTCACCAGTGCTTTTTTTGACCAAACTTGTTGTTACCTCATTTTCAGATGGAGACACTGATGTCAAATTAACGGCCTGACTCCACCATCACTGCCCAGGAAGATAATTGCAAAGGTAGGAGTAAAGCTGACTTTTCCTGCACGGGACTCGTTCAGCCTCACGACAGCCAGTTGCTGATGGAAACCACCGATGTTCCAGTCAGGAGGGATGGTGGGAGCCCTGTCTTACCTGTCCAGAGGTTTTCCAAGCTTATCACAAAACCGCCGCTCAGGTAGAAGGAGGTGAAAAGGACGTTGCCGAAGAAGGCTGAGAGCTGTAGTGTGGGCAGCAGCGCTGCCACCCAAAGTGCCATGGCGCGGGCACTGTACACGGCCAGCCACACCGAGAGGAAGTTCAGCAGGAAATGCTCTGGCTCAGGAATGAGGTTTGCCAGCCAGTAGATGGGAACCCCATAAATGATAACAAAAGCGCAGTGTTCTGGGAGCTCCCCCAAAATCTGTTCAGGAAGGGAAAAAAAAAAAAAAAAAAAAGAAGAGAATAAGTTAAATTATAACTACAAAAACACCTGAGATACACCTTAATGTACTTATGGACTGTTTATAAAAGCTACAGGAAATACTCCCTTAGAATGTAATCATCTCCCTGTTAGGTGTTGTCAGTGACATGCAAAAACAATCCGCAACAGAAACTGAAATCCACACTAATTTTTCCTCCAGTTGTGACAATTCCTGTAGCTAATTGTTAAATTGAGAGGATTCTTGTTACAGATTAGATGTCTTGTTTTATTACAGTTTGGCAGCTTCTAAGAATTTAAGACGCTCTCCCTGAGAACCGGTGTGCTTGATAGCAGCAATACTGTTACTGACTCTTGGAAAATATATGTTTTGTCCAAATTTGGTTGAATCCAATGTGAGATCAAATTTGAGACAGATTTGGCTGTTGGTCACTTCCCTACTTTGTCCCAAAAGCATTCCGGTTCATAACTCTTTAACTCATTGTAAAACAAAAACATGTTTAGGATTGTCTCAAATATCTAAAGATACATATAGAGAGTATTATGATTATTTCTTCTAAAGAGGATTGCTACTATCCTCTAATACTAAGGTTGCAACAAATTACATCGATTTCTCTATGAATAATGTGCAATCTTTGTGACATAATGCAAAGAATATTTTTCTCTGGCAACCACTAATAAGCATTTAAAATCTTGTGCAGAAATGGAAACCTAAATTACAGATGCCAAGGCAGGCAGAGCTCCTCTAACAGTGGCAACATCACAAAGAAGAGATGATTCTAAACCCTTGGTGGAAAAGAGGATGACATTTTAAAAGTTCTAAATTTATTTCTAGAAATTCTGGCTTTTGATGCACTTAATACAATTGTTTGTCTCTGGCCAGTAAAGGTGCAAACCGCTACTGAAAATGTCACAGTTGGTGTTTTGTCATTTCTGTTTTACCCTTGATTTTGGCATTTAATAAGAATATTTTGTTTTACAGATCAAGACGTGTAATCAAGCTTTCAAAGATGCTCCAGCAAATGAAATACGCAGGTACGTAAAACTGTCTAAACCCTTAAATTTGAGTTTGAGATTTCTCAAATTTTGGCCAAACAGTCCAGCGAAAGATTCTTATTTGGCTTTTCTGTGGGTGGGATCTCAGCCATGACTTATGGCAACAGATCTAAAGTAGTGTGAGGTTTAATCCATTAACGCCAAGGAGTCAGGAACGATAGCCTTAGCTGGCAGACACAAAAGAACAAAGTCTGATATGAATGTGATCATTTATACAAGAAAGCTTTGGTTTGTTTGTGGTTTTCAATGTTAAAGGCAGCTGTTTGTATTTCCTGGCAACAAAACCGATTACCTTAGCAAAGAAGTATGGGCTAACAGAGTACATTCCGTCTTCCAAGTCATGATAAAGCATAGCTCTTTCCGAATGACCTGCAGGGTAGGAACAAACAGGTTGCTTTCATTCTAGGGTCACATTAATAAGTATAATTTTTCATTGATTTAGGAATTTTCTGATTTTGATTGCTTAGAACATTCACAAGAAAACTGACACTTACATTTGGCAATAACATCCAAAATCACTGTGAATGGGATTAGTGCACCTATCATGTACAACAGTGCTGTTGTGTCACGAATAGAGAGTCCGGATTTCTCATGGCCATAGTACAAAAATCCAATTAATAATGACATGAGAAGGGCCTCAAATCCATGGATTAATAACGTTGAAAGATCTCTGAAGTCATTGGAGACTTGACGACTAGGAAAACAGCAACATTGACCATAAGGTATAGTACTTACTAATGCCACTTACATTCAGATACGTCGCCTCAAATGCTCTGCTAAAATAATTTGGTGGAACCTGCTGACTTTGAGTAGGACAGGAGTTGGGCTGTCTGGTCCTGTAAAGGACTTTACCTAACCAAAGCTATTGAGCTTCTGTAGCTGCCTAGTATTTCAGGTCTGAAATGCTGAAAGCTTGAAGGAAGGCAATGTGGGTGGGACGGCCTGATTTTGGAGACACAGAAGCAATTACTTCTGGTTTAGAAGTCTCTTCGTTAAGGACCTGTAGCATAGGCTAACACCAGCTGATACTGGTGCTGATGTTCTACATGTTTTAAACCAGTTGATTGTGTTTCTTTTGAGTACCCAGGCATGAGACCCAACTATGGGTGTAATCATGGGTGCCTGGCTGTAATCAGTGAAGACTGCTGGCTTCAAATCTGAGGCAGAAGTGTGACGATGGCAATGCCTGAGCCTACCATGAGGCTGCCTGGGCTTGCTGACAGTTGAGTCCCCAGGCTTCAGCATGGAGATCAGGATAGCAGTACCCAAAACTGGGATGCAGGTTCCTGAGCCTGGAGGTTTGTGCTGTTCCTTAAGGCTATGGGCTCCCAGTGATGTGAGCCTGAGGTGACTGTGTGTGGAAGGAGCCCTGGGGCAGAAAGGTGGGGGCCATGCTGACATCTGGCTGCTGTCCTGCTCATGGGGCTGGGGTGAGCCCATAGAGCAACACCTCTGCTCTATGGCTTGTTCAGGCCTAGCATGAGGTGTGCACTGGCACCATGCACTCAATTGTCATTATATCCTTCTTTCTTATGCTTTAAGTACATAACTGTTTAAGCTGGAGACAATATATTACTGGTTAAGCTGGAGATAAGTTACCTTAATAATATAGTGAACTGCTTTAAGACTCCTGGTAACTGGTCACTGGAATGGTGAGGCATGTTGATAGCCTCTTCTGACTTTAAATGGGACCTGCCCAAAAGAAAAAAGAGAGAAAAAATTGAAATTAGCGCAGGCTGTAGCTGTTATTCCAGATCTGCTGTACGACACGCTTCTCTTTACCTTTGCTTGCTGAATGTGGTTGCAACCTTGTCATCTTCAGTTACTTTCCATAAGAAGTCATCAAAATCTTTGACTTTTTCTAGGAACAGGTTGGCAAGAGTATTTGCTCTTTTTTGGCTTTCCATCTCCTTTTCTGTTGTCTGTTTATCGATACTAGTCAAATCAACTGCAAGACATTATTTGACATGAGTCCATATGCTACAGGTGTGATAACTTTATGATGTGCTTAGAATCAGAGATTTCATCACAAAGAGACAGTACAACCTCTGTGTGTATGCATTAAGCTACAATGGTTAAAACTTTATCAATTACTTTAGGTAATTAGAGAAGAACAGATTGTTAATGTATATTTTGTCTTGGCAGATGTTTCTTACTTAGTCATTCAACAAATCACTGAGAGATTTAATTATTTAATAATTGATTTTTGTAATATTGTAAACTACTATTTTAGATTTTTCTAAATTTAACAGTGGCTTGAGAGAGGTGCTGAGAATAAACAGTTTGAATTTCCTTCCTGGCATGTAGGCATTTACAATCTGTTCTGTGGCCTTGACTTAAATCACATGGTTTTTTTCTATCTGCAAAATGATAACTATCGTCTTCTTTTGTATCTTAAAGAGGTGCCATAAACTTTACCTGATATTGAGAAAGCCCATGAAGAACATTATCCAAGGACAGTGTAGTACCAGCAACAATAGTTGCCTTAGTTCTTTTATTTAACAAATCTATTTTTTAAAATCTAAATTGTTACTGGTATTTTCCAATGATGACTTTCAGTGTAGTGTGGCAATACCCAATGTTTTGCCGATCTTGCTGAGAGAACTATCGCTGCACTCCTTATGTTAGGCTGATCATCTCTGTTCAGACTCTCATCAGCAGAAGTTCATGAAAGAAGAAACGAGTTGCCACCTGCCCTACCCATCGCCGTCCCTCCTTCTGCCATGGTCTTCTGTTTCTCTGTCTGACACACAGCCAGCATTTGTGCGTTTCCATCAGGTGCTCCTTCTTCCTGTGGCATCCTCTACCATCCTGTCCCATTTCCACCTTCCTGCTGCCCATATTTCTCTTCTCTTTCTATGGGTACTGACTCTGTGCATTGCTGCTAAATGATCTTCCAGCTCCCCTTCTCACCCCTGTCGTAGGGGTTTGTCTCTCTAACTACAGGCTGTAGCTTGAGTTTCCCCAGGACTGCCTCACATTCTCCCTTCCCATACGGAGGTGCTGAAAGCCTTCTTCAAGGCTGTGCTTGGCTGAGAAGGGCTGCTCTGAACCGTGGCGGTGGTAAAGGTCTTCTTGCAGGGCTTGACACTGAGGTTCACTTCTGTTTATCTCTGCTCAGCTAATAGGAGCTGACACCACCTGCCACATCGGCACAGCCCAAGAGGTTACTCCGGAGCACCGAGGCTGATGGCTGCACAAGGTTTCCCAGCCAACTTGAGAGCAAAGACTGAAGGGCTGGAACTGAACCAACCTCTCTGGTAAGAGACTACTGCTGTTAGATTAACAGGGCCAGATTCCCTTTGCACATTGCAAAACCAGAAGAGGAATGGATTTGGAACCACGTAGTTAAATTTCTTTGAGAAGAACAATAAAAGGATTGCTGTTCTGAGTTTGGTTTTTCTCCCTTCTCTTCCCAGCGCTCCATGGAGTGCTGTTGGGCAGCGCTCCTCTTTCCCATTTGCTGTTCCAGGTGTGTATTATTTCTCACCCTGGGAAACTCGTTTCCCACATTTCTTGGTTCAGAAGTCAGAGAACTGGCTACAGAAAGCAATTGATGAGTTCAACCATGTCTTTCTCAGTGTGGGTAAAAGTTTCAACCAGCTAAAGCATGGGAATAAGTGCGCTAAACATGTGGAAGAGTTGCTACACCTGGTAGGGTCAGAAGAAGGATTATTGAAAATTGATTTTGTCCGTACCTCTTGTTTTTGTTACGTTTCCTCTACTGACAAATAAGGATCATATTTAAACCTGAACAGTATTGATTTGAGTCAGTTATAAGGCATTTCTAAGACAGTTATGGTCAATAAAAACCTATGTTAGCTGATACACTTACAAAAGCAAATGATTTCCAGTAACCTTTTTTTATGACAGTACTTGATACTAACCATAGAAATCTGCAGGATTGCTGTACCTTGGGCAGGGATAGCCTAGTTCTGTGAAGTACTGGACCATGTCTCTAGCTGTTCCAGAATAGACAGTGACTCCAGAAGTCATCAGAAGAACTAAATCAAACAGTTGGAAGATATCTGAGCGGGGCTGATGAAGTGAAAGAAGAACTAATCTGTTTCCTCTGGCCAGTCTGGATAATGTTATCACAAGGTTATGTGCAGTAAAACTGTCCAGTCCAGATGTGGGTTCATCAAGTATGAGTATTCCTGCCAAAGACAATAAGTTTAGCTGTGGAAAGCAGCGTGTTTGATTTGAAAAATATGTTCTAAGCGAAATGGTACTAGTGCATGAAATCTCACTGATATATTCCTTTTTTTTTTAAAGTACCGAGTATATTTCATACCAGCATCACATAATATTCAACAATGGAAATTTCTTCCCCTATCTCTTACTGAACATGATGACCAAGAACAATTATTTTAAATCTTATCTTGCTCCCACTGGAAACAAGATATATTTTTTTTAAATTACTTTTCATTGCTATGCAGATTTAAGTTCCTTATTAAATTTACATTCTTCTCTGCAGTTTTGCACTGCCTGTGCACATATCAGGTATGTGAATATTAATTAATACAGTTGTACTAGTTTTGTATCCCGCTTACTGAAAGGATATTTTAGCCTAAATATTTAAACCTCATGCATTATTAATGTGTAAATGCACAGTATTAATTCAGATAGCTCCTCCTCCTCCCAGCCTGTGCTGTATTTCCCACCTATTTGCACATATAAATGAAGATAGGTATGTTTGCTTTGCAGTTGATTGATTGTTACAAACTTGAAAGTGTTTATTACTTTGCAGTGTTTGTGTTGTTACAGAACTTTATAGCCTCAATCAGCACAAGGCAATGTCTGCACACAGACATGGTTTCTGTGCTGAGGGGTATAACATGTTTGAAATGTAAAGAAAGTTTTACTTACTTTTTCCCAGAACTAACTACGTTTTTTCTTCAGTACCAGTATATCTATTCCTGGGCATCACTTCTTACAAAAAAAGACTTCTGCTTTCCCAGTAATTGCAAAAATATAGCTTTATGCAAGCAAAGAATTCTCAGCTCCATTTCCTAGTAGAAGAGCTGATGGGAAATCTTGCTCAGTGAGAGGCTCAGCCAAGATTAGGAGTGCTTTTGATATGTATAAGAACAGATAGGGGATTCAATCCTGCAAAATGAACTGTGGATTTACCCTCGTGTTTTGCTTCTGCTGAAGATGATGGAAATTTCTAGTTCACCTGCGGCATGAGCCAGCCACGTCAATGAGTTGCACAAGACCACAATGACTGATCCTGCAGCCAAGAAAATGACCTTCCCTGTTAACATTGCACATGTAAATTGGAGGAAAGGAAAACAATCCAGATGTTGTTGTAGGCCAGCAGCCTTCCAAAGTAACTTGTGGTATGTGGTCAGAAAAAAACCAACCTCATGCTGATATACACAAAGCAGAGCACTGCTGGGAGGGTGACTTCAGGCAACTTTCAGTGGTCTGTGTGATGATGGCTTTAGAGACCGGTGGGTAAAGGTTTCTGGGGGACTTTTCCTGGCTCTGTCGCTACTGCTCCATTGGCAAAGGTGATAGAAGCAGAAGTGGGCTGGCTCCTGAACTGCTCCGTTTACAGAATTATTACTGTAATATTTACATTATTATCTCTGATCAGCACTGATTTCAATTTAAGCAAACAGACCAGCACCTTGCTATGGAGAGCCAACCTCTGCCAGAGGGTGATGCAAGGCCTGTTAAGTGTCCTGAGTTTGAACTCCCCAAGGTGCCCCATGGGCAGCTGGGTGTATGACTCTTCCCTGAAAGCTCCTGTATTCATTTCCTGCCCCATTTCCCACAGTGGGCACAGGGGAAGGTGTGAGGGTTTTGCTCACCTGGGTTCCAGAGCAGCTGCACACCGATGCTCACTCTGCGTCTCTCCCCTCCCGAAACGCCACGCAGGTACTCGTTCCCTACCCTTGTGTTTGCACACTGGCGCAAGCGAAGTTCTGCTATGACATCTTCTACCTGGGGGGGATACGAAGGGCAGCAGACATAAAGCAGGGGTTTATTTGCAGATTTGTGCATAGATAAAGCTGAAAATACGATTAATGTAGTTAAAATTCATCTGGATGTTTCAGTGCCATCTGATCAAGAGACACTTGAAAACAACTCTTGATTTTAGAGATAACATTAAAAAAGGCTCAGCGATCAGCAATTTAGTTTTTCTTTCAGCCTCTCTAATGCTTTCTCTAGATTGTCATTTTTTATGAACTTTGGAACAATTGCTGGTTTCTATCTTGAAAGAAGAAAAAGGTTTATAATTCATAATCTACATAAAAAAATGCCAGATTAGCTGTTCTGACTCCAAACACACAGGATCTCTTGGAGAATTCCTGTCAGACACATTTTTGACAACTTTATTTTTTCCAACAGCTTAATTACCCTTTTTTTCCTTTGCGAGTCTGAAAAAAACTTTGGAAGGCGCAGTTTGGCAACGAACAATAGTGTTTCTCTGACAGTCAGGTGGGGGAGCAGTCGGTCATCCTGCCGCACGTGTGCTATGCATTTCTTAACGAGCTGTGGAGTGCTGGGTTTGTTATTGATCAAGATTTGACCAGACTTGATTTTGCCTCCGTGATCCCGGCAGGTTATCACGTCAAGCAAGGATGTCTTTCCACCAGCTAGGAAAAAGAAATTGAAAATTAATTTCCAAGGAATCATTTTGAAAAGTGATCTAGTCATAGGCAAAGAATAGAAGCTTTCAGTCTTAAATGTCTTATTCCCCAGCCCTTCCCGAAGCTTTTCCAAAGCCACAGAGGCAGAATGGTCTTGAAAGAAAATACCAACTACAAGCTCATGTTCAGGAAATATCTCTGCTCTGGAACAGAGTACGTGGCTGTTAACCTTTGTAATTTCTCAGCAGAATTGGGTAGTTGGGCGTTGAGGATAAGCCCATGAACTCAAGAAGCACGGTCGCTTTGACCTCTCGTTACCTCTCTTTCACTTTTGGAACACAGGTGAAGGGTGGTACCCTGCGCCTGGCTGCAAGGCTGGCACCTAAACCCTCCGCAAGAGCTTGCTCCGTGGAGGGAATTGTGAATTCAGAAACGGCAGCTGGAACGGCTGAATGACTAAGGTGCTGAATGATTATGCACACAATAAGAATCTAAATCATGATTGAAATAAAAATTATTATGACTTAAATAAGACAAAAAGTCATTGAAATAATTAAGAAAAGCTGGCTCATGCTCAGAGGTAAGAAAAGTGAAACAATGAAAACAAAACCTGATTTGGAATTAAATAGCAAATGATTTTTTCCTTTTTGCTGTATGATACTGTATGTAAACACACAGAGCTCTCTTATTATGATTAGATGTCACTTATTTCCAGTCTCCCTGTTGAAAGATTAACTCCACACTTGTTTCTTAATATATACATTTTAAAAAGAAACCCATCCATCTGTAAACCACGTATTGCTCTATTTAAGAGTGACATATTGATTGCCATTGACAATGTGAAACCCATCAGCAGTTTAATCCATTTTACTAAGGCATTTGATGAAATAGATGATAAACAGCTTTTAAAAATAGTTTGACTAGTTTGCTCAAAGGGGTTTGTGCTCAGTGTATGTTACCTTACAAAGGTGCTATATCTATAACTCAATATGCTATTTCATCAGAAGCTTTTCCTTTTATTATCAGGAGAATCTCTAAAGTACAACTTCAGTTGCATTTAGGATATGTGCCAAGGAAAAATTCCCATGGAAATGGTGAAGAAAAACCTCTTTTTTAGAAATAAAGTTAAAACTTCTTTGGTAAATATGCCTTGCCTGTGAGAGAGAACATCTTCACTGAATCACTGAGCTACCCTGATGTAAGAGCCTAGTGGAGACTCAGCATGGGGGGGTTTTACCTCCAAAGTATGGGTACTTTTTACTTCAGTTTAACAGGTCACGTGTCTCCTTCTTGTCCCCCCAGATGACTCAACTAACCACATGGGGTAAAGGCCATCTCTCCATTAGTAAGCCTCACCCTGAAGAAGATTAAACCAGTGCCACCAGAAAATGAAAGGGAAAAAATAAGACATAAGAAAAGAGCGACCCATTTTAAAGCCAAACAGAAGAGGAACTATCTTCTCCGTAAGTTTCTCTTAATTAATCCAAATGCCATATTTTATCCTGTTAGAATTGCTTCAATCTGAAGGGTTTTCCTGCTTATGGCTATGCAAGTTGCCACTGATCTTTCTTATGGGGTCTGGCCTTATTTGTCTGCTGTGTTACTGGGTAAAGTCTGCAACTGGCCTGTTTTGAATCTCAGCCATGAAGCTGATTCATGTCCAGCAGAACTGGGATTGCAGACCATAGTTAGAAAAATACCCCACTACACCTCAGGAAACAAACAGCAAATATGTACAAGTCATAACAGAATTGGTTTTGAAAATAAATTCTAATTTCTCCCCCAGTATCATTCTTTGTTTCCTCATACATTCTAAAGATTGTATTTAAGTGGCACATTTCGAATAGTTGTTTCTCAATTAGATTTTGCCTTTCAAAAGACTGCAGAGTATTTTCTTGGCTGTGTATGTTTTAGCTAAGAGTTGGACAAATCATGAAATTAGGTTGCTCTTACCAGTGCTTCCTATGATAGCTAGCATCTGACCACTTTGAACTTTTAAATTCAGATTCTGAATTATTGACACACGAGAACGGGGATCCGATTTCCAGGTCCATGGCATTTTCATCTGTGCAAGGCTTTCATACCAGGGAATCTGGGATGCCATGTTAACCTAACAAAGGAAGAAACAAGTCCCTTCAATTCCAACAATAAACAATCTAGCAATAAATATCTTTGAAGTTATGATGTTACAAGCACAGAATATGTTAAAATAATATTGTTAATCTTCATAAATACATGGAAGAAAGTTCTTTTCCAGCCAAGTATGGTTCCCGTACTTTGCTGCTTATTCCTATTAAACACTAAAGCTATCTCTGTCCTCTGTTAATTTAGTAATTTCTTGCTGTTGTAAACTTTAATTTTTAAAAATTTTTATATACAATTTTAAATTACTCAAAACTGAAAATTGTGAAGTCTACTTCAGGTGCCATGGTGGCACTAAGAGAGATGAAAAATTTCACTGGGTCCCTGAAATCCTCCTTGTGTTTGTCATCCTCTCCTTTTCTCCTTCCACATGCTTATTCTTGCCAGCAAGGGCTCCCAACATCCCTAGCTGGACAGAAAGTCCCTCTGCCTCAGCCCTCAGAGGAATATTTTTTGTCAAGACTGAGAAAAAACAAAGCCTAGAAACAGACCTCTTTTCCTGTCTTATCCTCTAGATTTACTAGATATATTTACAATGGAGAGTCTAGCCTGCTGTCAATATTGCAGCCAAGGGCACGATTCTCCTTACAAAACCTCTGTGTATTTGACTGTGCAACGGTCATGTGAATTAGTGTTGTGAACTTCAACTTTGTTCAGCTTTTAAAATGACTTGAATATAGAAACAGATATTGGTGGATATCCTCCCTGCTGAAGAGAAGATATAAAGTACAACTTTTACCTGGTAGTTGAGTTCTTTGACCTCGAGAACATTTGATTTTCCACTGTATGTGAAATACAAACTGTTATCTTCTTCAGAGCAAAAAATACTGTCCTGGGCCTTGGTCTGGAAGAGTTATTAGGTTAGTTAGAATAGTCAATTACAATACTTATAGTGTTGTTAAAATTTGAATACAGAAAAGGCAAAGCAGAAAGGGAAGTATATTTTATGGGATGGAACAGTATTGTTGATAAGTTACTGTAGTGCAGAAGTCTGAAGGGCTGAAATGAGTTATCTGTTAATCTGTGTGAAACGTACTTTGTTCTGGCAGCATGTGTGAGGGCCAAACATGCTGTGCTATGCTCTTCTGTTTGCTTTCAGTTTGAATGGGATCACTTTCAAGATGGAGACAAATTTCATGCCACCATAAAGAGATTGGACTCTTATTTCTGGTTTTGAGGAAAAAATGTAATGCTTCTGCAACATTAGTCTACTGGATCAAAATGGTCCATACTGAAATTCATAAGTTATGGCAGCTAAAAATTAAGGTTCACTGGGAGTATGACAGATATTGAATTCCACAGAGACTCATTAACTTAGAGGCTTTATGAACAAGAAGGCGTATGACCACAAGTACAGTCTGTTTCCCCTCTTTCATCTTTTAAATTCACAGTCTGTCAACTGGAACTTGGTGTTCTGAGATACGAGTTGAAATAATAGAGTCTCTATGTGGCTTCATTAACCTTTGCATCTAACTGCAATTAAGAAGTCTTTGCTGAGGCAGCTTTCTGGCTCTGAGTTTAATTTTGTGTGCAAGCCTATAGTTTTTACTCCAGACAGCCGTATCTCTCCCAGAGCCTTGAGCCTTTTCTCCGAGTCAGACTCATTTCCTAGCCAAGGCAAACGTACCTCTTCCCTGTCTCGCAGACCCTGTCCCTGCCTGTGGTATCTTGGCAGATGGTGACCACAGCCGTTCTGTGCACCTCCTACCCTCACAGCAAACGAGGCTAATATAATCTTTTCAGTCTCAATGTACAGCGGAAAGCAGCATGACACCAAGCAGCCTGAAAAGCCATGTTAAAGCCCTCCAAGCTCCCCCCACTGCTAAAGCACTCTGGGCTCTCACTCCCGTTGAACTTAATTTTGCAAAAAGCAGGTGGTCCCCAGAAAATGTGGGGAGCCGGTTTTACAGCCCAAAGGCATGTCCTAAGAAAGCCACTCCAAGCCATGCTCAGAGACCTTCTGCTCCATCCACGTATTTGAAGATGCCCTCTCTCAGCCCCACCACAGCACAGCTTAGGTGGCACCCGGTCTCATCCCCACTGTGCTCCTGTTGGGGGTGAGGACTCTTTCAGCTCCCTGTTTCGGAGGTGGAGGAGACACGGGCTCGCTGCCTGTGGAAGCCTGGTCACCACGCTGGCCACCCGCCTCTCCCCGCTCCCGGCCAGGCGCTGGAGCTGTGGGACGGCTGAGCCCAGAGGCTCCCTCCCCGCTCCCCGCAGGTCTCACTAACCTGGCTCCAGCCGGCACCGTCCAGAGAGACATTTTCAGGGGCTTCCTTCATGTTGGCGCTGGAAGGTCTCGCTCCCTGCGGGTGGTTTGGCTGTTGGCTCTTTGCAGGCCGTGCAAATCCGTCTCCTCTGGGTCCTGAGCTCAGCCCTTTCCAGGCGCCCTCACCACAGCACCATTTCTCCTGGCAGGCTGTGTCTCTGCAGCTGGTGTGACCCCGTGGACAGGGAAATATTCCCCTCCTCTGGGGACAGCAACAGCTCGGGCTAAAGGTACATCAGATAGTGGCCTCAGCTAATCGCCTATCAGTTGTTCTCAGGAAAAAGAAAGAACTGAGCGCCCCTCTATTTTCTTTCAGGCGCTTCCCTGGGTGGGCAGCGCTGGGGGCAGTGACCTGCTCCGACCCGGGGACAGCGGGGAGCTGCCCCTGCCCGGTGCCGAGGGGGGCATGGTGGTGGCAGCATCGGGCACTTGGCCAGCAGCGTGAGGGAAGGAGAGAGTCAGCCTGTGGAGCCCCAGCACCCGAGGATGTCGAGCAGAGGGTCTCCCACCCTGGAGAGGAGCAGCGGCAGTGGGCAGACAGGGCAGGTGAAGACCCTGGCGCAGCCCTCCGACAGCATCAGTGTCCGAGGTGTCTCCTACACCGTCAGGTAGGGCCTGGAAAGCAGGATGGCGGGACCCTGCCCGCTGGGAGCTGCTCTGACCCCAGGGACTGAGAGGAGCGGGGCTGAGACGGGTGGGATGTGGGTTTGGCCCAGTGAAGAAGGAGGGACGTGTCCAGGCAGCTGGCTGCATGGTGCTGGGCTGCCCACCACAGGGGTAGAGTACAGGGCATGAGGGAGGCAGAGACAGTCCGTCCTCCAGAGGGTTCACCAGTTCTTCTTCACGTCTCTGAAGGAGATGCTTTTGAAAAGATTTTCAAGAGATTGTGCCTCCTAGCAGTCATTCTGAAAAATCTGTACCTTCCACTTAACACTGAAGTTAAAAAGTTAAAGCCAGGAGAGGGGAGGAGGAAAGTTAATTTTGCTTTCATTTTTCCTCCCAACACCTTAAAATCCTTGCAGGCTCCCATCCAACTTGCAAATAGTTACAATCCATTCACTTGCTTGTTGCAAAATTTTAAATCTTTTCTGTTTCATCTTTTTTGATGTTTGCTTTCTAAGAGAACGTGTTGGCCCATGGTGGAACCTTTCTCTATATCATAAAAAATGGACCCGGCAAATACTAAAGGACGTTTCATTTCACATAGAGAGTGGCCAGATTATGGGGATTTTAGGAAATTCTGGTAAGTTGTTCCAGTACTTAAAAAGATATACGATCAGAGTTAATACCGGTGACTTCCACAGTGGTATGTATGTGACTGAGGTGTCTCTTTGAAGTAATGAAATTGCAGCTAGTTTTAACCTCCGCTTTGGAAAACTCTGCTTGCTTTTCAGAGTTCAATCTTCTGTTGTCTAACTAACAATTGTAATTTCAATAAAAGTTAAGGTTACTTCTAAACCCAAATGTTTCACTATGAAGTGTGAATTTGTATTAATTACATGCTAATTTACATGCATTCTAGGTTTCCCATTTATTTCACCTTAACTAGCTGCATTATTATTTTAATGTTATTGAGAAAAAAAGCACTTTCTTCTTTTTATCCATCTCCATCCAAGAGAGGCTACGGCTTTTGAAATCATAAAATTCATCTCATCACATGATTATTTTGTTTGAAAGGATCTGGGAAAACGACACTTCTGGATGCAATATCAGGAAGACTGGGACATAAAGAAAATTTCTTTGGTGAAGTGTACGTGAATGGACGTCAGCTGAAGAGGGAACAGTTTAGAGATTGCTTCTCTTATGTGCCACAGGTTAATTTCTACATCTATTTTTGTGCACTGTGCTTCCTCTTATGTAAAGAAATTTACATTATGTAAATTACACTCCATACACTTATGTAGTGTAATGGAGTAATGTAATCTGTGTTTTTACTAGTAAATTTGGTGCAAAGCACTTAATAAATTTTATGAATGAATGAAGGTTGTGCCAACAGGGGAAAGATCTTAATTACTAAAAGACTAACTGCTGCTTCCTCTTCACCTTTTTTTTTCCCAGAATGACACTTTGTTAAGCTTCCTCACCATACAAGAGTCTCTGACCTACACTGCTTTGCTAACTCTTCAGAAATGCTCCAACGACATCATCAAAAAGAAGGTCTGTATTTTATTATCTTCCACTAGAAAGGCAGACATGATGTCATGTAATGCTTTCACCAGCAGCACTTTCCATCCATGACTGTGTTTTATGCTTATAAGATTTTGTAATACTCCTCATTCTGCAAGTGGGGAGAAATCCTCCTGCTGAGGAGTAGGACATGAGGTCTCTGGTTCTCCCTGCCTCTGCAAGGGGCTTGTGCTGATGCCCCAGGGAGTCACCATTATAGTGGGACAAGACTCTCCTGCCCAAAGCTGCAGCAGTTACTGCTGCAGGAGATGCTGCTGTTGGTATCAACGTCAGTTCCTCTTGCCCAGCTGGGAAACCCAGGTATCTGGGCTGTTTAGGGACATGTCTGCTGGCAAGCCTCATGGACAGCAGACATCACTTTGACACTACTCTGGCTCCTCTAGGACGCCACTCACTAACCAGAACAGTGCTGAAAAGCATTGGTCTGATAAGCTCCCTACAAGCTATATTCTTGAGAAAATAGATGTGTTTCAGATCTATTAAAGGACACTCTGGCCTCTTTTCAGAGTAAAAATTGGATATTCCTGACCAAAGGCTCTTGCTCTCTGTCTTGTCTCTTCACCTGTTTTCCACTCAGAATTGAAGTGCTTTTCTGCTCCCTTATTTTGGAAGCCAGACTGGAACATTATGCTTTCTACCTAAACTTCTAGTCCCAAGTCTGAGCTCGTCATCTCTTAATGTCAACTGAAGCTAAAATTGTACTCATTTCAGAATACATGAAAATAAAATTTAAAAAATAATAATAGAACCAATATATTACAAATAAATAGAAATGAAACCAGACACCTTCCAACTAGAATGGATGCAAGCATCATATTGGGAAAGCCATAGCTTAAAATTATGTGGGTTTTTTTCATTACTTTCATTTGGCACAAGCGTACCTGAGTTGGACTGTGTTTAGTCTTTGTAAACTGTAATTATTTTTCAGGTAGATGCGGTTATGGCTGAGCTGAGTCTCAGCCACATTGCTGACAAAATAATTGGAAGCCGTGTTTTTGTGGGAATCTCTGGGGGTGAGAGGCGTCGTGTTTCAATTGCAGCCCAGCTACTACAAGACCCCAGTAAGTACCACTGCATAGATTTTAAAAAGAAAACAAAACAGTGTCACTTTGTGACATGGGCCTCCATAAACCACTTTAAAATACAAAATTGTTTATATTCTGTAATTCAGCAAAAGTTAGTTCAGTAATGACAGAAAATGATGAGCAGTAACTCAGGTCTGCCATTAATCTATTAGTTGATGTTGAAAAGTAGGCAATTTTAAAATCTTAGAGGCTGAACATAAGTTTAGACTTGCATTTATCTATTGCAAGTCTTTCTGGACTTGCCTTTCCCATCTATGAAATGCTGATTGTGGCACATTAATTTATAGGTTTTTTGAGAGCATTAGAGCCATACATATGCAAACATTGAGTGTTGAAGTGGATTAGCCATGGGAAACAGCACTCAGTTTTGGGATAGTTTCTTGAAGGTTCCAGAATGTTATGGAGTGAACATATAGCATGCATTTATTGGATTCTGGGATCCTCATAGGTGTGCGGATGTGCTTGGATTGCACACTAGGCGGGAAAGAGCATTTAAATAGCAAAGTGAAGTTTATCACTGCTACTGGTGGGTCCTGGAGAGTTCATTGGGTGTAGTCATTGCTCAGTAAGTTCACTAAACTCTATAGTAAACACTATAGTAATTCTGAAACTCTACAGTAAACACTGTAGTAATTCTGTGTAGATAAACCTATAGAGAAAGATCTCCTCCTTCCTTATCCTGCCCAAGGTTGAACTGCCCTCTTCTGTGCTATGTCTCATCTATGTAAAAATAATGGATTTGACTGTATCTTTTACCCTTCCATGTGCAATAAAATCATTAAGAAAATCCAATACCACCACCTCTGTCATCTATGGAATTATATATACTGTATTTTAACAACTCTTAATTTGTTCATAACAAATTCTGTGTATATACAGATTTAATTCGGATTATAACATCTAGCTAATTATGGCAGTTATATTTACATTTGTATACATGCTGAAATTTATCATTATTGTTCTTAGAAGCTGATGTATACGTCAAATCTACTTTGGTTATTTTCAGATTTCACCTGTACTTAGGGAAAAATGGTTGTGCCCTGATCCTGCAGTAATTTATGTCCTTATTCCTAGTCATTGAATTTGAATTGCTGAAGCTAACTAAAATGAAAAGATCACATCATGGCAATATCTATGCATACTCTGCTTTACACATGGAACTTCATATGTAAACTAATTTTGATCTTATCTGCCAAATCGGCTTCAGAGGCAGAAGTTGGAACATTTGCTCCCCGTTTACCTGAGTTTTAATGCTATTCCTTATCATTTCACAGAGGTCATGCTACTTGATGAACCAACGACAGGGCTGGACTGCCTGACTGCAAACCACATTGTTTCGCTTCTCTCAGAGCTTGCACACAGAGACAGGATTGTGATTATTACAATTCATCAGCCTCGCTCAGAACTCTTCAGGGTAAATGATAGCTACTCACTATTTGCTTTTTTTTTTACCAGGCATTTTAGTACCTAGGTTCTTTTCAGGGTAAAAGTACAAGATCCAGTATAGTTGCCTTCAAAAGCTGTCTTCCTCCCCCTCTGCGTAAATGCAGGCCTGTCTTGAACTTTGCAGCTCTGGCCTTCTGCCAGTCACAGGGTGCTTTGGGACACAGACTGCCCTGTCAAAATAGCGTGTGCACTGACTGTGTGCCTAACCTCTGTGTGATGCAGCTACCCACATCAAAAACACTGGGAGAAGCCATGTGAGCCCCCCGTGTGTGCAGGCACTGTAAAACCTGGCACTTTATTTATCTTATTC